TTTTGAGACAGTCTCCCTGTAGCCCCAGCTGGCCTAGAACTCCCTATGTAGACCAAGCTGGCCTTGAACTCACAGAGATCCACTTGCCTCCACACCCTACCTGAGTTTGGGTGGTTTTATCTTTATGTCCATTTGCAACCAACAGTCTAATGGGAAGTGTGCTCTTCTCTCTGGAACACCTGGCCTTGAGGAGACTGCCTATACGCCTTCTGCATATATCCTTATCAATACACTATGGGACTTCACTAATCCAGGAGCAAAAAAAAGTGTTTGGTTAAAACTTACAAACTCCTTGTGAACCTTTGAAAAAGTGACTTTTAGTTTCCTATTTCAAGAACAAGAGGCAAACTCAGAGTGGTAAGTCTGCTAATCAGGATATCAAGAGGAAACACCAACATGACAGAAAAGCTCTTTAAAATGCTGGTGCTTGGGAAGGTCCAGGCTGAGTGGTATATGCTCATAGTGCGTTCTCATACCCAAGTTATTCCGCACTGAACTCTTTAAAAGCTATCAGATTCGGCCTATGTTCTATTAAAATGCTGTCAAAACTAGCCTAGGCATTTGTGTCTCCATGTATGTGTCACAGAAAGGTCTTTTCATTCTACTGTCTCAGAGATTTTCTTGCACTTTCTGTCCCACGGGAATTTTCTCTGCTAAACCATCTTAAGAGTAGAGATGGGGAGGAGAGCTGATGGGGGGGCAGTCATAGTTAGGGAGCTGAAACAGAGAGAAAGTAGAGGAGAAAAAGGGAGAACACAGTCAGCCACACAGGTGAGGAACAGATTGAGGAGCCCAGATGCATGAACTGGCTAATAGGGCTGGCTCCCATGTGTTCAGCACCACAGGTAGCCCATTTCCAAGGAAATGAACTAGAACATGTGTGTGAACTTGCCAGGTCAAATAAAGCAGAGAATTCCTTGTATGGGGACTCAAGGTCCCCTGACCCACTTTCCCTTTTGAATTTGTTTTGTTCTGTGGTTGGTTTTCTTGCTTGCTTTTGTGTTTGTTTGAGACAAGGTTCCCAATGAAGCACGGGTTGACGTGGAACTCACTACATACTCTAGGCTGGCCTCAAACTCCCACATCCTCCTGCCTCAGCCTCCCAAGTGCTGAGATCATGGGGGTGAGTCCCCACACCAGGCTTTCTAGCTCAAACTTGGATGGAGTCTCTTACAGGCATGTACTTCTGCTAGGTTGACTGACTGCTGCTTGCCAGGGACATCTGTAATTTCCCCCATATTATTCTATGTTGACTTCAGAGTTGGTAAGTCTACCTTTTGATAACAGCTATGGTTCTAGAAATGTTCATCTTCCTGAAAGCTACTCAGCTGCTCTCAGTAAACTCACACTTGCACATTTTCATCACCCCAGAAAGAAACCTAGAACCAATCAAATTTCGTTCTCCCCTTTTCTCAGGCCCCGCCCACCACTAATATACTCTACATTTGGTTTTTTACCCAAGGTTTATCTACATCGCACATGGTAATTAAAAGTAGCAGACTGGTGGAACTAACCTGACTGGATGTTTAGCAGCCATACTTTGAGGCCTATACTAATCTGGTCAGAGGGACTTAAAGGACAGCTTTTGCCCTTTGCCTTCCAGGGTCAGCTAAGTTCCAGGGGACTATGGAACATCTCTCAAAATGTCCTGTAACTGTGGTGAGTCACCTGTCTTCTTGTTCAGGGAGGCCATGGAGACCCCACCAGATGGACCTGAACCAGTGTCTAGTCTACAAAGAGGAGGGTCAACTTAGAGGAAACATTTCCTCCATGCTTCTAAGTAAAGCCAGCCATAGTTGAGCAGGACCTTTGACTTGATGGAATTGGTAAAAGAAAGGAGTCAGGGGCGCCTCCTAAGCCCATGAGATCCCTGAGGAACTGATCCTCAAACAGTCATCAGTATATTTCTTTAAGAGTTCAAGGGATTACACTTCCCAGACATTAGGCTTAAGTCCATATAAAAGTTAGACAATTATTTCTCATTGATGATTTTGTTCTGAATCAGAAACTGCTTCTCAGATGTAAGACTGCAAATCTTGGTCTCCAATACTGTAGTGCCCACCCGTAGCTAAGGGAGACAATCCACTATTGTTCTAAAATGATGGATACATTTGTTTTCTTCCCCTATCTAGAAGCCTTTAAGAGGGAACTGACACTGATTTTAGCCACTCCAACAGCTATCAAAGTGCCTGAAAACAAATCCTGAGTCCATCACTTGAATCCAGCCTTGGCAGACAAAAGAAAAATGGGGAGGAACCCAATAGAGGGATGCTTTTGGAAGTCCTTGTCAAGAAATTCCAGTGGACTCTCATATGAACATTTGAAATTTGCCATGTTCTGACTTTTTTCTAGTTTCCTGCCTAGAAGTTGTAATGCCTTTACTTCTCCTTCACATCTCCTATTCACCAGTCAAGGACTTTCTTTTCCCCCTACAGATAAGAGTTATGCAATTTGGGAGTCTTTTAGATAGACCCACTGAAGGGGTACCCCAATTGCCTCACCCTGCATGCCTGTTCAGCATGGAATAAGGTAGAGCGGTCTGTGTTCTGATTCCCTATCTGCAAGTTGAGGATGGTGGGATAAGAACAGGAGGTAGGAATTGGCTAGGCAGTTAGTGTAAAAAGACCCCAAAGAAAAGCAGCCAGTCTCTTGGCTAAAAGTCAAAATGTCCTTGGGCCTCTTAGCAACATACTCTGTTTCAAAGGTCATCCCCATATCTAGAGGCCTCTTAGCAACCTACTCTGTTCCAAAGGCCAAACATGTCAAAAGTATTTGGAAGCTCTTATCTAATCCTTTAAAGATTTTATGGTTACCTCTTCAGAGGGGGGGATGTTAGAGTAGCCAAAAGCCCCAAAGAACAACAAGAGGAGGGGGAAAGAGTACAAGAAGTTATCAGAAAAAAGTGATGGGGAGATATGGGAGGAGCTGGAGAGGAGGGCGTGGGCATGGATTTGATCAAAACACCTTATATGCTTATATGCCTGTATGAAATTCTCAAGTTCCCTAAACAGGGATCAGTAGGCTTCCACCTGCACTAGCCCTATATCAGTGTGTCACCCCTTTATGTTGCCAGATGATTCTCAGTTTTAGTGAGACAGCACATTTGCTAGCCCACTCTCTGGAGGCAGCCACTTCTCTTGGGCAGATACTTAAAGGGGATGACTGGGGCACAT